GGCTGTGATCGTAGGAAACTTTAAGTTCATTGTTTGATTTCTGTTCAGATATTTATGATACAATTGGGGAAGATTTATAAAAGATTGTTATTTAATCCTACAGAACTAGCAGTTTACATGTATTTATTTTATATAGAAGTTTAAAAAACAGGTTGCACAATTTATTAGGAGTTGTTTGATAGCTGTTTATACACTTAATCGTATTTGTCTATATTTAGTAGAATCAGTGACTATTAGTCAGACACCGCATCAGTGGCACTCGAAAGTACATGTACTCGGTGAAATGTTTAAAATTTTTTCTGCATCGAGACTACAGATCAGAAAATGTTATGTAGTTTTTCATGTTTTGTGTGATCAGTCAACTGTTTGAAATGGGTTTCACACTTCTCTGTATAATTCATGTGCTTTAAGCAGGCAGGTGGAAAGAAGGTTAAAAAGGTGTAATTAGTCTTAATTAGCCTCTTCACTGATATTTGTGCTTTAATCTCGTTTTCTTCTAATCTGCGCTCCAAAGTGGCCCGTTTTTAAGGATGCGTGATCCTCTTAAGCGATAATAGCACCGTGAATCATGAGGTTTCTTCGAGCGAACAGCTTGCTTCTTGGAAATTGTAACATAACTTCGATTACCTTTCGTTTATTTCTTTCCGTTTCATTTTTATTAACCGATTGCTATCAATTATTGTACCGATGTTTACGTCAATGTTTAAAATGCATCTTTTATTTGTATGCAAAAAGAAATGTAATTGCTTTTTGGTATTATTACTTCTTTCATGGTGTACCACCAACAATCAAATTAAAAAAAAAAATACTAAGACCTGAACTTACAGGGAGAACCTAACATTAGGTTGCTGTAAAAGTTCTGACTCTTTCTAATACAGGTACATTGCTCAGAAGTTTAATTACAACAAATGAAGTCTCTATCATGTTACACCACGAATCTGATGCTTTCATTTAAAACTTTCGAAATAATATTTATTCCGTCAGCTTGTCAGTATATACCAGATACATTCTTTTTATCTTTCGAATACCTGATAAACAGCATTCACGCACGACCGATACAATCGAGCCGTTCGTTTGCCCAAGGGATTAACTCCGCTAAAAATATAAAAAGTTGATCACCGACCAAGTGTATTGGCGTGAAAATTAAAAAAAAAAAACGTTTAAACTGGTGTCAGTCACATTGACGTGCGAACGGGACTCGATTATTCGATCCAGAAAAAATCCTCTGACACCAGACCAGGGCACCTCTGAAATGATATTGTTTGAAATATTATTCCAAATAACATGTTATTTTATTTCACAGTTATTTCCATTACTTCAAATAGTTATTTCTTATTTTCATTTCAAATAAAATGTGCCCAGGTCTGTCCGACACAAGCTCAACGTATTTCTCTTTTCCCAGACGAAAACACCCAAGCAAGCAACAATACCACTAGATAGTCCTATTGTTTCAGAGATTCTTCAAGTCGTGAGTGATTCATCCGTACCATTTCCCTCCATCCCCTGTTCGCCGTCCGCCATTCCAATCGCTTATCGTTGCATCTTCACTGTCCTCGCGTTTCATCCGTCCCTCTTATTCCAAGACGCCGTTCGCCTCTTCTTCGAATGGAAGAGGCGATTACAGGGGGCTACTGTGTAGTGTTCTGGAAGGGTGTCATAAATCGCAGACCGTTCCCCCTTCCCCTACCCACCCCCTTAACAGCTTCCCCTATCGCGTCGCCATCGTTCTTCTTGCGCGTTCTTATTTGCATGCCAGCTTCTTTTCTTTCTTTTCTCTATTTTTTTTTTTTTTTTTTTTGCTTGCCACCATGCACGCGAATTGTCTCTATAAGAATAGATTCGTATAGTTGAGAATCTATACTATTCAATATCTACGTTCACCTGGAATAGTTTTCGTTAGTTTTAGAGATATGGATAAACTTTGCTTGTAGAAGTTAAAGAATGGGACAGTGCGATTTGATATACAGCCCTTGGATGAATTAGGAGCACTCAGAATTTTCAACATCTTCTGTGTTTTCAGTAAAATTGAAAGACCTGAACGAAATTTAATTACAAATTGCATTGACTATGAAAATAGTAGTTAGTAGAATTTACTGTCAAATTACGTGTTCGGACCATTCAGTTTTACTAAAACATATGTAAGATGCTCAAAATTATGAGTGGTGCTCATTCAATGGCCGGACCAACCGAACCACAGTCGATACAAAGATACATAGCAATAAAAGAACGAATTTCATAATCTGTTACGATGTGACGTATTTATGGCGTATCATGCATTATGCACGTTTTTTTTCCCCCGTTCGCAAGATGGCTGCCGTAGCTTTCCGTGCTTCGAGCTTAATGAATTTTCTATTACGAAAGTTCACTCTTCTTCCTGACCGAAGAAACACGACGCCTCGCGCGCTTGACGTAATACTCTCCGAACTGAAATTGTAGCCTTCGTGTGTTTACGTATTCTCCCTGGGTTAACTTTCTTCTTTCGTGGGAAGTTTTTTTTTTTTTACTTCCATAAAATTTGTAGAACTTTCCTTCGAGAAGCTTTACGCTCACACTGAGACACCGGGCTCACAACGCGTCGGATGGGAATAAACGTAACAAAATCAAGGATGAAAAATATGCTTCTCCACGAAGATGATAAATCGCCCCGAGATTTCTTTACAAACGAGGAATGCAGCTTAAAATTTAATTCGATAATTGATTTAAGTGGACAGTATTAGATAAATCGTCTTCAATGTAGTATATTATTTTTTTTCTTTGGTTATTACGAAGATATAGTAGAAAGCAACTGATATTCCCATGGCGAAATACTTTTGTTACTGGTAATATTAATAAAAAAAGATTGAAATTGGGGATAAATTTCCTGATATTAATCGGATCCCATTATTTTTCATTTCGTGAATCCTTCAACGAACGAAAATCAGCGTCTCTGGTTTTTCGTCAAACGACCCGTGGAGAATCGATCGCCGTATTCGCCGTGTGGATTCTAATAAATCGAGAGAGGATCGACGCACACACGACTCTCGGCCGCTCCGTGTTCGGTCACGGCCACGAGCAAAAAAAAAAAAAAAAGAAGAAGCAACGTCCCTGGCGGCGATTGGAACACGAATCAATAACGAACGATCGTGATCGGCTCTCTGAATTCCCGATCGCGTGATCCGCGTCCCCTTAATTGCCGCGCAACCTCTCGATCACTCCGGATGCACGGTACGTCCTGTGTCTTCTTTAATTGAATCTAGTTGGACTATGTCTCCGATGAAGGGACGATCACACTTCGGCTGTGTCTCGTTGCCCGGCCTCGACACGATCGGACAACTAGTGTTCCCCCATTTTTATGTAGGGTAAATTCGGGACAGCTGGACCAAACTCTTAAAAATGTTTGAAAATCGAATATTTTTAGAAATAATAAATATTGCACTCAATGGTTTGTGTAATGGACGATCTTTTTTTATGACAAATTTAAGTAATTAGTGTAACACAATATATCTATATATAATTGCAGAATAAAGAAAATTAATTTTTGACCAGCTACACTCCTTTCAGTATCGGATTGGATTCAGAATAAAATAAAAAACTCGGATCCGACGAAAGTTTTATATTTTATTTTATATCAGAGAGTCATATAGATTATAAATGTACAATATTCGCAGTCTAGCCATCGGTAATACACACGGCTGCACCAACGTGTTCAGTATTACATTAAATTTCGTATAAATATTCAACGTTGCACATCGAATGTATGTATTGTAACACGAGTTTTTCGTTAAGTCACTACACGTATCTGTTCGTTCCATTAAAGCCATCATCATTCGCATTTCGATTCACGTCATCGCCCATTTGAAAATCCACGTACATTTTGAAGGATCAATTTCTCCATCCGGAAGGGTTTAAAAGCTCTCTCTCTCCCTCGTTCACCGAACGACAAAGGATATGGTGGGGGGGGGGGCGGAAACTTTTTCAAACGTACCGTAGGAAATAATATTTCCCTGCTCATTACCGCCTAATGAATGTTTCACAGAGGGGGCTGAAATTATTTAAAATTCGGCTCTGCGCGGATTGCCTTGAAGCCTCCGGTCTGGTAATTCCGGTTGTTCCGTAATTTTTCGCCTGGTTTTACGCCCCCGCGAGACTCGTGGGGATCGTTCGTCGAATTAATTCTCACGAATGGATAAACGAAAGACAGAAAGGCGGAGTTGGGTAGCTTTTGATTCTAGGACATCCAGGCTCATCCTCTTTCTCTGCTTCGGTTGCACATGTGCGCGGATAATTCAACATAAACACTAGCGTTACAACATACGTTTGTGCTATTAAATAAGAGGGAAAATTAACAAATTTTATTAATGCTTATTAAAAATTCACCTTATACATCTAAGTATATATTATGAATTTCTGAAAAATGGGGCTGTATATCTATCAACAGAAGAAAATGGCTGTCATTTAAGAGCGTTTTACTCGAAATGCAATGTTCAAAATCGGTACCAGAAATATTTAAAAGACTACCGCAGTGATCAAACTTTGTAGTAATATTCTTACGACTAAAATCTAGTAGTTGAAAAGTATTCGCTAGAAGTATATTCGCGTGTAAAGTATCATTTTTTAAAGAAAGTGGGCTTAATATACTCTGACTGGGGTCCAGACATACAAGTTGATACACAAACTAGCACTCAACATACCTATCCTTCCAATCCTAACTCTTCCGAACAATACATTCTCCACGCGAAAGAAACTGATCATCCCCAGACCTCCCCAGAACACCAATCGCATCCGTACAAACTTCCATCCCAGAGATCATCCTCAAACCCCTGCGATATCCAGGTATATACCTCTCAGGCGTGTTCGTCTGGACCTGGTCGTCTGGATGATTCCCAGCCACGCTATCGATCCGAAGGGACGACGCAACAACACCATCACGTAGTAACACACACACACACATACACAGAAACACATTCTGTAGCCTCGGGGTGCACCGCATAATCGACGCCGTTTCCGTTTGGTTGTTTCAGAGCCTGGAGGAGCGTGAACGCAAGCACGCGGTGCACAAGGAACAGCTGTCTCGCGAGCAAAGGTTCCTCAGGCGACGGCTGGAGCAGCTGACGAGCCAGACGGGCATTCACGGGCTCCACGAGCTACACGAGCTACACGGGCTCCATGGGCTGAGCTCGAGCGCGCCGACCGGTTCGTCATGCGGCCCTGGATCGGCCGCGGCCGCTGCCACCGCGGCGTTACTCTCGAAACGGCGCAGCGTGTCCGAGTGCTCGCTCGGCACCGCCTCTTCCACCAGCTCCACGGCCAGCTCCAGGAACTCCGACAGGTCTGCGGGCAGTCCATCCGTCTCGGAGTCCGGTGAGTACTACACCTATTTTATTCCCCTGTTGTTTGTAGCTAACGTGGCAGATGATGAACGGTTCCAGGCCAGCATTGCTACTGTACTGGGTTCAAGAAGACTGATGATCGTATTGGTACCAGCGTGGTATCATTACAAATATGGGTGGGAGGATTTTATCTTAGAGGATTTTTTTACCATTTTCGCGGCAATCTGTAGACTGGAAAATGTGAGAAGGAAAGGAGAGGGAACAGTTTCGTCCTGGGCCTGCTAGTGGACTCGTCAGTATCTTAGACGCAGGGATATACGATGGTCGGTTAAGGACGTATATATACGAACGAGGAAGGCTTCGGGTACTTGCGGGAAAGGTGTCAACTCGGTGGACCTCTGGTGGCGAATGTAGGAGGTAGTGCCGCCACACCACTATAGTACTACCTAAGTTTTATTCCCTAAGAGATGGAAATCCAGCAAGTACTAATGCGTTTGTTGCGTCTTGGATGTAGTGGAACTAGGCGGTGACTATTGCTAAAGCTCATAGTGTTTGCATGACCGCCATATTTCCAGAGATATGGGTTAGATTTTATTTTATAGGGTCTTTGACCAGTAGATTGCTGTTCAGGCCTTACTTGCAGATCAGAATCTGATAAATACTATCGTATTCATTGCACCTTGTGTGCAGTCAGAGCGAAGGAAGTTGGGGGTCGCTATCGTCGTTGGGTTTGAGGACGTAGACTGTTATCTTTATACCGTGTTAGTACGAGCACTGGGTTCAGCCAGAAGCATAGGGTCGCTAGATTTTGTCTTGTAGGATCTTTGACCGGTACAGTGCTGACCAAGCGTTACTAGCGAGTAGAGTGGGATTACCGTGCTACGACTCCGTTATCCAGGTAGCTAAAACCCGTATACCCGTGCTAGAAACTGATATTTCCATCGAAATGAGCACTTCGTTGGGGAAAACACACGAAAGATAGATCCTGTTTTAGTAGACAGTACTACGCTAGTGGAAAATAGCGTCCTAGTAAAACGAATCGTTAATTTCACTTAGAAGGAAACATCCGAAATCGATAATCGCCGATTTTTATTCCTGTTTCCTTCTTTGGATCAATCTGTCGATATGGTGAGTAGGTTTAACTCACGAGCTTATAGAGAGTTCGTAAGTAGAACTTTTAAGTTATATAATTCCCAGAATACTGTTACCATTTAATCTTTCCATATATAATATTTAGTTGAATCTTTGCGTGTAAAATGCTACAGACACCAAGCGAGGGGGATTACCTTTGCCGGTGGAATTGTAAGGGATTTAGCATGTAGTAGAATACAGAGAATCATGGTAGATTTTATTCATTTCGATGTAATAGGATTAAACGTAGAATAGGAGAGACTGGAGTGGGAACAAAGGATGGGGGTCGGTAGAAAGTTTACAGATATACATAGTTTATGAAAGGAGTAAATGCCAGGGCGAAGATAACGGTTTGCGGATGGGAATTGGAGTCGTAGTGCTCTTAACGACCCGGATGATCCTAGAATTTAAACCCGCAAACAAAAGTGTATTAATTTGTTAACCGGCACAGTTCTCGATCGAGAACTTTCCCTGGTTGGATTGTGACAAATATCTTAATTATTTCTGGTAAAAATAAAATTCCACGCCAAATCCAGGTGAAATTAGGGGGGGGTTTAAGTCATCATTTTTCTGTTATCATATTTGTTTAAAAAATACAGGCCGCCGAAGTTTACGATTTTTGCCTATTTTCGTAGAACCACGATGTACTTAAAAATTTATATCTCAGAAACTATTTATCGTATCGAGTTCGTTCTTCGATTATTTAAATCTAGAAGAATTGCCCTACTATAATAATTTTGTTATACAAAAAATTAACGTTTTAATATAGAAAATTATAAACAAATTCTTTGAATGACCCTATAAGAACAAGCGACTTATACTTCTTCTTAATGTAAAATTCTTCGACTATTTTGTTCCATCTCGATGCCAAAAGACCATAGGATTAAATCCAATGAGGGGGATCTCGGCTGGACGAGACAAGTGATATTCCCCCGACTACCGAACACGAACAAAGTAAACAAGTTGCTTGGCAGAGTGTCGAGGCTGTGCGATACTCGGCTCGTGCAAAAGAGGATCGCGTGGAAAGAAACGATTTCGAGGTGTTAATCTTGGATCTTGGAGACCCGTCGCGATCACAGGAGGCACGGTCTTTGCGTCACGGCATTCTACCGCGATCATATTTATCGATCCTGCGGGTAGAGTACGGTCGTGTGAACAACGACGTTTACTTCATCGTGACAACGAGGGACACGACGTTTCGATCAAAAAGTTCTTGGACTTTTCATTTATTTCAGAAAATATTTATTCATCAATATCTATATAATCGTCATCAAAGTAGTCCCCATCGGATATAACACACCTATGCCAACGTTTTTTCCAATCCTCGAAACAATTTTGAAACGCACCTATCAACATTTAATTAAAATCTAAATTATACGACGAAGATACCTTATTATTGTACACCTTTCAGTGTTTAAATAATATCGTTTGTCACCCAATTTTGCATGCCTCCCGTTTTATATTTATTATTGCAAAATTGACGTGCAGGTATCCCACGGAATCGCGGTTCCAATTAGAGTCGAGATTATGTCACGAAATTATTTATGTGCTTGCAAGTTCTTTGAAATATGACCTTGTCGTACAATTTCATATCCCCCTGTTTGTTGGCGGAATTTGTAATTGCAAAATTGCCATGTAAATGTCCACGGAATCGCGGTTCCAATTAAAATTGAGATTAGGTGACGAAGTTAGGTGTCCCCGTGGCGCGGCACGCGGCTCCCCCGAATAATGTATCGCGGAAGGTGTCAGAGAATATCTGCCGTGGGGCTAATACTCTGTAACTTTCTTTTCTAATTACCGCGGAAGTTGCCGGCCGCGGTTCATTTAAATATTCTCTGTTTACAAATGCGCCGGTAATCAGCGATCGCACATCCGAGGGACGACCGCGCGAAATTCCACGGGACAGAACTTATTTCGCGGTGGGGAAGTTGAATCCTTGCATATCAATATTTAATTTAACTTTATAATTAGCCAGGCTCCTCCTCCTCGGTTCGTTTAAGAACCACCTGAATCGATGCCTGGCTCTCCCTACCACCGGACCCACGAGGACTCCGTGGGATTCCCGTCGAACCTCGGGTTTATCGACACGACGAAACAAAAGAAACATTAATTCAGAACGTGTACAATATTCCTTTATTCTTCAGTTTCTGTCTGGTAACTTGTAATACTCTTCTAGGTACCTATTTACCAACTACGATCTCCTTGTTGCATTCTACAGAGGCTGTTTCGTTCAATTTTACTCGAAACGTTATTTACCATTATTGTAGTTGATGGAATAAGGTGTTTAAAATATACTTTATTAATAATAATAATACACGTATTCTAGCAAAGACTGTCTTTTGTTTGAAAAAGCAAAACTGTCTATTAGCTCTTGACGGTGGCTCTGTTCGTGACATTCCTGGGTCCCTTCTTCAAGTGGGGGTGGAATAAAAATCCAGGCTAAGGGAACGACTGTATTCCATGCTTGTAGAGCTCTGTCTCAGGGCGCATATTATCGGTGGATTCCAACAGTAGTTGTAACGAGTTTCTTGTAAAACAATCGAAACTTTTATCGTTAACTTCGAAGTCATTTAGTTTAGAATATAATAGTGTACAAATGATATTAAATCCCGTCGATTTGTCGTCACTTGACGAAATTCACTGGGGGCCCGGGGAGGACATATTTTTACGATTCCTCAGCAGAAATCGTTACGTATCCACGAATCTCCTGCTGTCGGTAGGAACCATCTGAGTCAGCCCGTTAGCAAACTTCCGGCTCGTTCTCTGTCGCTTATGAAGTTCTGCTACGTAAGATCCGAGGGAAGGGTTTTCGAGGGTGGCGGAGAGAGAAAGAGAGGGTCGGGCTTCGACGAAGTTGGAGCTCTCTCGCGTGTGGGGCCAACCGATAAAAACTTGTACGCGGCGACGTGTCCCGTCGACGATCGACGATCGTCCAACTCGAGAGGATCCCTCTTTCCCGTTGATCCGTGATTCGCCGAAATGAAGTTCCCGTGTCCTCTTCACATTTTCTTTTTTTTTCTGATAAAGGTATGACTGGGCGACGTTATCTCGAGGGACGAAAACTGTCGAATCTGGGGAATTTATATAAGATTGAAAGGACTCGACGATTTTCGAAATGACGGATTAGCGTTTTTTCTGAATGGTTTATCATTTTTTTTTTATTGCACTGGTGTCAGAAGCCTCAATGACGATTTAGATGGTACACTTTGGATGTGCAACTAGAGATGGGATAAAGTATATTACAAGTTGGTTCGTAGAAGTTATTCTACAAGTAGAATGTTTGAAATTTTTTTCCATGAAAATAGAAATTCAGAACGACCTACTTGCGAAGGATTAACAATGAAAAAGTAGGGTCTGAAGTACCCCCCACTGGTTTCTATCGGTCGACCACATCGTCTTCAGTTGTTCTCGACTGATGTTATTCTAATCGCAAACACCTTTGTTTTTGTTACCTTCCTGTCCGTGACTGTGGGTTTCGAGTAACGTTTTCTTAGTTCGATGGCAGTCGTCAACGCGAACGGATCAGGCGTCGCGAAATAGTCCTCGAATAAGAGCCTCTTTCTTTCTTTTTGCAATATTAATATAATTATATCAGAGTTTTAGTTTAATTTAAGTTAGTTTATTTAGTGTAAATTCTGTGCGCGTGTTGTGCTTTTTTCTGGTCTCAGGCTTGCATTTATTACACATCACTTTTTCAAGTTTTTTTGGCTGCAAGGTAAAGGTGTATTTATTCTCAGCAACACTCTACTTTCCTTAACTCGTAATTCACTGTAGTCGATACAGAGTCCCAATTCAACTAAAATCCACTAACAGATGATACAAATTAAATTTATAGTGACAGATCTATCAATAGACTGCAGATCTTATACATTTAAAAATTATTTTTAAACAATATATTAA